GAGAACCGGAGACCATTTTACTGGAAATGAGGCATTCCATCTTAGTCCCCATGGGTGGCAACTCACCTACATTTTAAGAGAATAAATTTAGATGTCTATAGGCCACAGCACCCACTTACCATCAGGTGCACTGTGAGCTCGTTTGTCACCCTTTATTTTAAAGAAAGATTTGTTAGTCTGAACTTAATTTAAAAGCCAATTATTTGTGTGTTTTTGATTCATTAGTTATATCTCTTAAGAGTGTAAGTTATCTCAATCAATTATTATATTATTTCAGTAGTAGTGAACAATCTGTATCATATCACCCTTTATTTTATAAAAGAAAGATTTGTTAGTTTTAAGTTGATTTAAAATCCAACTATTTATGTGCTTTTAATTCATTAGTTATATCTCTTAAGAGTTTAAAATATCTCAATCAATTTCCAAATTATTTCAGCAGTAGTGAACAATCTGTAAGAAAATTATTCTGTACAGTTTCACACCCACGAACTCGTACGTAATCCCTTCACACACGATTGAGCATTGCACAACAAAACGACCAGTTATTGTTAACGTCAAAAATAACTGCCAACGGTAACTGTCAGTAATTCCATATCAAAGCGGTTAACCGGACCATTTGCTTTCTTTAGTTCTTTTGTCAGATTGTGTATTTTAACTGACCAACATTTTTTAGCATTCCCGGCACTATTGGTTTGTTTTTAGGATGTACTTGTTTCGTTTGTTTGATTTTTATGTTAATTACAAAAAACAAGGAGTACGTGTTCTGAATTCTATGGCTGACCGTGGGAATTTCAATACGTCATTACTTTACTTTTAGACCGCATGCGGATTTTTTAATTATGTGGGCTTATGTGGTCTATACATTCAAAGTAAGTAAGAAAGTGCATTTTAAACGGATTTCGTTAAAACTTTTGATTTTTGTACCATATTATATTATTTTCCACATCATTAAATTACATTATTAATCATAGTTGACTTTTTTTATAATTTTTGAATGAAGTCCTTTTTAGGCATCGAACTATATTACTATACGTAGTAGTAATACCTCAATGTTTTTAGGTTTCTTTCCATGAGGCATTAAGATTAAGCATTTTTTTTATTTTTTATAATGAATTTATTTTGAATAGTAAGTCGCATAGAAGGTTATTTTCTGATTGTAAAATTTTACGGTTTATAAAATTTAGCCACTAAAGAACTGTGTCTTTAGTTTTTTAATCTATAAGTATGTATATTAATAATGAGATAAGAAGTGAAATTAGCGATTTCCTAAAAACACTGGAAATCGGTTCTTTTGTAATCAAGCTACAATATTTGTGGAACCCATATCCAGTTGTAGAAGTCACTATAATAATACTTTTGCCATATTTTAGTACTATATCATTCGGCATTTATTAATATAAGATCGTTTTAAGTTTATTGGTACTAAATTATTATATTGAAAAAGGGAAGGGAAAATATAGTAGACTTGTTTTCGTTGTGCACGTTTATGTTAATGTCATATAACGGTGTAATCTTATATATTTATACAAGAACTTTACAACTTTAGTTACCAATCGCATATTATATTTACAGTACATACATTTAAAAAAAGCTTTAGCTATTTTTCAAGAACTCTTTTTGGACGATAAATCGTTGAGATATAAATTGCCCTTTACATTACGTTTATATATAACAATAACATGGTCTTTTAATTTATGTATAAAACTGTTATTTTTAAAAAGCATACCGACTTATCGCAAGACAACCGCTTGATCACGTTTTAATTATTTTTAACATTTTGTATAATAATACGGTTTACTAATTATACATTAATTGATAACTTTCTAAGAACTTATAACGGTAAAAGTAAAAACATTCATCAAATCATATGTTTTTCGTTAGATTTATTTAACAACTTTTCCAGGTATATTTTTACTCAAAAATTCTTACCTGGTCAGCATTAATGAATCTTCTTATCATTTTCTCATCTTTTATTATTAATATCTCTGCGGGATATTTGCAGTAGAAGCCGGATAACCGACGTAGCCCAAAAGTAACAATGGGCGGTCATATAGTTCAAAGGATGAGGAACAAAAGTTTCCGAGTAGCAACATTTTACCAGTAAGCGAAGTTTACAGTGCATGCTTTGTGCACCTAGGGAGATCTAGGGAGAGCTTGAGCTAAGACTAATGACTGTAGAACTTGTGAAGACCTGTAATGACGATGATGAGACAAATTTCCTCACAAAGTTTTCTTCATCGTAGAACACATGATAAATCTAATATTGCGATTAACAATTTCATTGGTTAGTTACAATGGGGACCAAATTACCACAATTCTTATAATATATATTTTATACACATTAGAGATTACTAGATTTCACGGCAATAAATCTAACCAAATTTTCACAATAACACGAAAAGTGATAGGATAATGGAACTACGCCGCCAACAAATGTCAAGAAACTGGTTCTTTATAATGTGCTTTTCCTTATTCTTAAAAATACAATTCCTAGTTTCAAAATTATTCATGCCATTTAGACTGTGATATAATGTACTGAAATAAATTATGTAAATATCTTGACATTTATTTTCAAGACGCAACTTTCGCATTTTAATTTCATAAAGAACAGGCAAAAGAACTATTAAGTAATATTGTTCAAAGAACCTATAAAAAATTTACTAAGTGAGAATATAAACATAAACCAAGTATAGTCTAAATTTACATAATTTACATAAAGTAAATATAACGTTTTATTGCACACTTAGTTAGCTTGCAAATATGGCTTTCCTAAGTGAGTATGATTTGAATGTAACTTCTGTCGCCATTTCCATAGCTGAAATGTGTTACAATTTAAGCAACTGTGGCCTTTCGGTTAAGGGTATGTGCTACGTACATACGTACTACAAAAGTCTACTGCTTGCCTTGCCCCTGTTTTGCAATGCCTGATAAGTGGGAAACATAGTGGCCACCTTTGTTAGGTGGGTTGAAAACGACAGTTTTTTTTTTTATTTCGATTTTGTTATTAAGAAGACGCTGCTACCCGTCTCCTGATTCATTTCTTACTGCTGTCTCTGATGACACACATGGTACGACACCTGGCAGTGGATATTCTTTTACCGCTTTACTCTGATTACAACTATGAAAATTTAATTTACTTGTCACATATAGGCGATGTCCTATTGCCATCGCTCGCGCGATGATTCGATGCGTCCGACAAAAATGATCGTGCGACCGTGCGTTTAAACATACTCATATCTGCGGAATGTCCTATTGAACGTCGTGCGACTATGCGATGCGACTGAAGAAATCGCGCGTCCGGATTCATTGGACGATGAAATCGCATCGCATCATTGTGCGAGCGATGGCAATAGGACAGCGCCATAGAAAGTTAATTATTTTACAGTATGGGTAATTTTTGCGCGAAAATCAATGAATTTTACAACTACCATAACCAACATAATTGTTATACTTTATCAACTACTATAATCTATACTATCATTACTAGTGTAAATAAAAAAATCGTCAGCTGATCGATTGTACGACAATTATGATTTACTTTACATATTATAGATGTCACGTTTTGTAAAGTTTGGATTACTGATGTTGTCAATTATATTATAATAATTGACAAAATCAGTTAGATGTAATAAGCTTCTAAGGATGTAGTTTGCTATTTTTCTTTTCATTATTTCTTCTTAAAAATATTAAAGAGGTAGCAGTATTTAATATTGTTTCAATCCACGATACTTTATTTTTGTTTTATTGCATCCTCTACGCCAAAAAAGAAAAAAAAGGACGATCTTAATGACTTTAGATGTTATCAATCAGTCAATCAATGGAGTGATGATTTGACGTAGGATAAGCAATGCAAAAAATTCATGTCACTTTGTGTTATGAATTATCTCTTAGTTATACTACATCGTTATATTTACCTAAATGTTACCAACATATTTTAATGCACACCAATACTAATCAAGAATTTTGATTATTTAAAACCACAGAAATAGTAATAATAGACCAATTATTACGATTTCTGTGTTTATAACAAAAACATATTTTCTTATTGCATCAAATGAAATTCCAAATATCAGTACAAATTCTAAGCTATAACTAAGTTTTATTAAATGAATCAACGACTAACATAAAATGAGCTTATCATAATGGTGATTTATTATATATGAAATTTTAAATAAATCATAGCAAAAATTTATCCGAAAAGCAATTTACATAATAGTCTCTTAGACAGTGAGCGTTATTCAGTATTATTCTAGAAAGTGAGCGTTATTCTGTATTATTCTATAAATAGTATGTATAATATATCGCAATGAATAAACTGAAATATACAGGTAGCGATTGTAATTTCAGTGTGGTTATAAAACAGAAACTTAATTATAGAGACTCCCACATAATGTTTTAAAAATAAGGATTTACCATTTAGGTGGAGCGATTCTGACCAATCTGGGGTCACCTTGAGGCTGAACTAGAATTTTTATTAAGCATTTGCAAGTTGGAATTTCTGCCTACTTTAGACCACAACGGGTCGTACGTATGCAACTCGTGCATACAAAAGATATCAACGAGCGCTGCTTGATATTCTTTAGAAAATAGCGTATGCTAGTATTTTTAAACATGCATACTATGTCAAATAAAAACAATGTGTTACATTGCTATCGTGATTAAAATATTGAAATAATTGACCGAAGCTTTTTCAAGAGAAACAAGGCTTTATACCTGTATTTTGTGGCATATTTTTTTTAATTTTTATAGAAATGTAATAGCTTTTTTCGGTTTATTAATAGTTATGCAATTAATAATGTGAAACGTTTTAACTAGGACAATTTCGGAGCATCGGCTTGATCGCATTTGCAAATGCACGCATGCGCTGGTGTCTTTCACGTGTCTAATACTTTGATAGGTTTACAATATTTTAAGGCTTTCGGCGTTTCCGCATGTTGAGGCAAGAATTGTGTAACAGTCGATTACGCGACGCCTGATTAAAAATAAGCTTAAACACTCACCGCTTGCAAAAAACTCTTGGTGAGGTGAAAGTATCTGAATGAAGCTATCAGCAAGCGTAGAACGTCACTGTTATATTGCTTGCACAAAACACTGAAAATGCACTATTGACGTTAAAAAAACACGGAGTTTGATTTTGGAAATGGAATGTTCGGTGGATTTGAAAGTCGCGCGGCAAAAGTGGCGCGCGGCGACAGCGGACGGGCGCGCTAGGCGGCTGGCGGCGAGAGACTGCGCGCGCGGCTTTGACTGTTCGGGCCCGAAATACTAATCACCTTGCAATTGAGAATATGATTCTGTCCCAAAGTTGGAGATTTAGCGACATTTTTCGCTAGACTTAACTGCCGTCTGCTCCTATCACATGAGCAGAGGACATTGGACAAGTATCTATTAAGACGACTGAGCACTTAGTAGGATTCAGTGCTTTCAGCGTACACTTTTTTACTATTCATATATTACACTTCTTCATCAGCTGACATATCATGAGTCTCTCCCGTTAGAAAGTCTGCTTTATGCAAACTTTCGGACAGAATTCCGGATTCAAATGAATATTTATTTATTTATAAAATTTCAATATTTGTTACATTTCCCTATAAGTAAAGATACAAGAGGCGGACCTTTAGTATTATTTCTTAAGCTAGAATCTCTTAATCTTGTTACTTGAGACACACGAAAACGAGGTAAGTCACGCACTACATGACGTTTTACATTTCTCATGTAAATTGTTAAGGTCAAAAATTGGTCACAATTATGACCTATCAGAAGTCGTCGATATTTACGTCACTAACGCAGGAAGTAGGTCATTGTCAGATAAGTTCCAGATTTTTTTTCAATTTGTTAAAAATTATACTCTTAAATATACAAATCTATTATATTATCTACTTTTCTACATATTTTCTATTTTTTGCAACTCTTGTTGAATTTCTACATTTTTAATTTGAGACTTTAATTTAAAATATTTCTTACGTGGTAGAGCCATGCTGCAGTTATATTAGTAGTATAGTTGTAGCACGAATGGGTCGGCTTGACAGGGGAAGTACCACGCTCTCACAGAATACCAGCGTGAAATGGTAGCTTGATGCTGCTGTGTTTCGTATGGTGAGTGTAGAGAACCGGAGACCCTTTTTACTGGAAATGAGGCATTCCATCTTAGTCCTCACGGGTGACAACGCATCTGCATTTTGATATGTAATCGAAGATAAATGTAGATGTCTATGGGCTACAGCAACCACTTACCATCAGGTGGACTGTGTGCTCGTTTGTCACCCTATCCTATAAAAAAACATATAGTTTGATAAGTTGTAGCTAAAACATCAACACTAAAGTTAAAAAAATACAATATCTATAAAAGGCACCAATTTAACTAGAACTACTGCAATGGTCAATCGTTTCAAATTTTGTCAGTATTGCTACGCGTACGCACATCGAAATACCCGCCAAAAGTGTCTGTTACTAATAGGAAAGTACAATGAAAATATACGTTCAAAAATAAAGTTTTCGATTATAGTAAGCTATGACTAAGTTCGTAATTAATTTGGCTAAGGTCATACCTTCCGAACTATTAGACAAATACTTACTCATAGCTTTGATGTGTGCTTGGATGTGTACTTAGATTGTTTGTATCACTTTCATCCAAATAATATGGTCAAAAATATTAGTCATTTTACCCGTTTATATTATGAATGGAACTGGAATTTCTGGTACTCACCGTTTACTATATGAAACTTCTAACATTCCTGAGATAAGTAGGAATCTAAAAACAATTTAAATTTTAAAATCTGTCAGACTATTGATTCAACAAAGAAGTTATAAAACAGTCAACACAAAATACAAGCATACATACCATCTTTCACACCATCATCGTCATTATTGTTTAAGCCCCTCACAAAGCTGCTAGACATAGCTTTCCCACAAGAAATAGCACAAAGCATATTCCTAAGCCACCTGCATTGATTGAATTACTGAGTATCATATAAGGTCGTTACTATAATCGTTTTCCGGTACGAGTCTGCAACTCGAGAATTTTTCTTCACTATTAGTTATCGGTTCTTTGAGCTATATTGTAGGTTCTATTGCCACTTGAGTTGACTAATTTGGTGAGCTGTGGTTTTATTGCAGATGTCATGTTTTATTCTATTTACCCGCAAAACATATTACAGGTTTGGCATTAAAAAAATTATTTTTTGTAACTCTCCTTTTAAGCATTCATGCAAAAATTCTTAAAAATAGACTAAGCAGTGCAACTTGAAACTTAACTTAAATCTTCGTCTTTATTGGCGAAGAGTGTAGCCTAAAACACTTATCTCCAATCCTGATGTAAGTTTTCATTGCTACCTCCTCTGGAATTAACTTTCAGGTTTCCTTTTCAGATAATCCACGTTATGTGAAAATTGTATAGATACTTTTGATATCTTTTGTTATTTTTAGAAAGAACTCTTATCCCAGAGTACAATACACGTTCTTAATTATATTTGCAGATTATAGAATTAAAATGAAACTTAGCGTAGATAATCTACGTAGACTCTAGCATTCATTGATATAAAATAGAGATCTTCATTCATTAACGATTATATATTTCAAATATGTTTAGTCCTAAAATAATGTAAAATTTTTATTATATAATAATTTTTTTTGAATACTAAGTAACTCCGTCTCTATTTTGTCCGCAATACGAACATTTTCGTTCTTTCTTTATAAGCTTACCCCAAAGCATAAAGGCCGTCAAAGCATAAATCCGTTTCCTTTCGTAACACTAAAAACACTTAAAGACCAACATAATACCTCATCGTTAATCGTCCTTTTTTGATATATATCATCATTTTTTTATATATAAGAGTGCGGCTTACCTGATGAAAGTAAGTACCGAACGCAACAACAGAACAACACCAGGGGAATTGCAGGACCAATGCCGTCCTTATAAAAAGATGGCTTTTAACTTGAAGGTCCCTAATTAATGCAATTAGGGTGAGACTTACGACTCTCTAAGTCGGTTAATAAAATAAAAGGTTGAATAAAAACAAAGAGGATTAATAAGGAAAAATTACAAAATATATTTTTATTTATTTTCTATTACGTAAAAAGCGCTGATATAATGATTATGCGAATCGTCGATCTTAATACAGTATTTCCAATTAACGTATGGATGGTGATAATGATCTCAAGTTTTGAATTCGGCAATCACTTCCGAAGCTGACTTTATCAACAAACATTAAAATTAAAATATAACATAAAGCTTCAAATCAATCAATATAAGGCTAATATTTACCTATAATATATAACTCATCAAATCAATTCTGTATCTCTGACACAAAATGAATCACATCGAAAATCCTATATAATATGTTATACAGCTGGACACAAGCCTTCTCTCATTTCTGAGAGGATTACGGATTTATTAGACCGCTCTGCAGCTCCTGTTGGTGGACTCTATATTATAAACTAAAAAAAATATGAAATAAACAAAATTTAGAATTTTTGATTATAATTGCTTTTTTTTTCAATCAATCGCGGCAGCCTTCGATATTAACCTCTGATATTAACTGGCAGGACAACATCAGTTCAGCTATTTAATAAAAACGTGTGAACGAATTACTTTTGAAGGACTTGATTGATTGAGGTCATAATCACCTAACATAATTTTGTTTTGTTGCACACCCCTGAGAACTAAGATGGAATACGTTTTCAGTAAAAAGGGTCTCGGGTTCTCCACCCTCACCCACCATATAAAACACAGCAGCATTAAGTATTTAGTAAGCTGATGTTTTAGCTTTATGCTATGTTTTGTATGGTGGGTGAAGGTAGATAACATAATATGCAGATCCAAAAACTATATTAAAGTCCACTGTTAAGCATAGGACTCAAATTGCCTCACAGGGGTGATATCTGCCACAGTTGCCACGCTTGGCAAGCGGGTTGGCAACCGCAGTCTTTTTATTTTTAGTCGTTATTAGGAAGACGCTGCTGCCCATCTCCTGGTGTGATTCCCTCCGTCACCTCTTACGACACTCACGGAATGATATGGACTAGTGGATATTCTTACACCGCCACTATACCAAATATTTATAAATATTGGGCATATTCGAACCCGGGATCGATACTGCAGTCGTAGCGTAATTAATATATGAATAATATAAGCGCTTCATAAATACTCATAAAACAATTATTTGCCATGTAACAACTTGTAAAATTCTCTTGTCCAACTCCTCCCACGTATCAAAGACGCGAACAATTAGAGTCGAAGTTGATTTAGTTACAGAAGCTATGTGCGTTAGTCTGTAGGTCGAACACGAGGCAAGGAGCAAAAGTAAAACTGCAGACTGGCGTTACAAGCGCGGCGTTTTAGCATAACACTCTTCGTAAAGATCATCACAGCCCATAAACAGTACAATATACAATTAGATTCCGAGACTCTAAAATACAGTTTAATAATACAATACATTTTCTATGAGATCACGACACGTGAAATCCACCACGACATATGTGACTGAACTATTTTCTTCTCTACAGCTCTATTCCAAGATTACTCAGAAGTGAGAGGAGGCCTGTATGATTTGTGGACTGGTAAAATTTATTAAATTACTAGTGATTCACCTCGGCTTCTCACGAGTGATTTCTGGATCTTGACAACAGCGCCATCTATCGGATCCAATTTTGAACATAAATCATTTTGAGAACACAAAAAAAATTCATAAAATATGAGCCATTTTCGAGTTTTAACGAGACTAACGAACATCATCAAATTTTTACTTATCAAGATTAATAGCAATAATCAAACTCACCCAGCTAGGCGAGTGGGTTGGTGAGCGCATAGCGGAATTGAGCATTGAACGGATACGCCGCTGTTTATTGATTTTCAGAGGCATATTGATAAGGAGTACTCTTCGTATAGATGAGAAAGGTGATCGGACATTGTTGTTATATCATCCCTAATCTCCTTTAGATTTCATTCGTTCATTACAGGCCTCTCTCATAAATTGCCACGTAGCGGCAATATATGGTATAGCTGCCCCACTAGGCGGGCGGGTTGACAGTTTTTATTATTTTGAGTTATCATCAGAAAAATGTTGCTGCATATTTACACCCTCTGTCACTTCTTACGACACCCATGGCATGGGATGATTATAAGTAAATGAGGTTAGCACTTACAGCACTTTAAATTAGTTGTTTTTTTATAATAAAGGAAGCGATTATATGTAAATACCTACATAGAAAAAAAAACGCTTTATATGTCAGAATTTAGTTGAACTGTAATTTAATGATAGTGAAATTAATTAAACGATGTAATTATTAAACCTTGATTTTTAACTGTTAACTTCCAGATAAAAACCGGTTACACAACAATAACACTGTGAATGAAATAATGGCGACAGTTATTAACTTTTTGTTGTGGCTACGTTTTTCTGCTTATTGGAAGATATTGTAATAATATATTTATTAATTCTTTGTTGTACACTAGATTCCGACTAGGTAAGTCAAACATCGACCGAGAGGTCAAGCGACGAATTCAACTCGGCTGGGCAGCGTTCGGGAAATTGCAACACATCTTCTCGTCAGGTATGCCTCAAACTCTGAAAACTAGATTGTACAACCAGTGCGTGTTGCCAGTGATGACTTACGGATCTGAGACCTGGTCCTTCACTGCTGGCCGTATGAGGGCACTCAAAATCGCTCAGCGAGCTATGGAGAGGGCTATGCTTGGAGTTTCTCTGCGTGATAGACTCAGAAATGAGGATATCCGCAGTAAAACCAGAGTGACCAACATAGCCCAACGGATTAATAAGCTGAAGTGGCAATGGGCTGGCCATATAGCTCGAAGAACCGATAACCAATGGGGAAGAAAGGTTCTCGAGTGGTAGCCTCGTACCGGTAGGCGTAGCGTAGGCGATCCCCCACCAGATGGAGTGACTACCTGGTAAGACATGCAGGAATTCAATGGATGCAGGTGGCTCAGGGCCGTGCTTTGTGACATTACTTGGGAGGCCTATGTTCAGCAGTGGACTTGTGAAGGGCTGTAATGATGATGAATGATGTATACTAGAATACGAATAAAAGTACATATTCAAGTATATGTACACATATTACGTATGAATGCAACGTGTCTTATCACTCAGAAAGTTATATCTTCTAGTTAACTTTTGCGTTATTTGAAAATTTGTCTTTATACATTGTAAATATAAAAATTGCAGTTTTACTGTCATCTATTTTGACGCAAGATTGTAATATTCAAACGCATTCATTTTTAATTATCTTGTGCCATAGTAACTAAGGGTCTACGTCCTGAAAAGAAATAAAAATATAAAGAAAAAATATCCGAGCGTTTCACATATCGGCGTCAACATAAAGTTTGTAGTCTGCTTAATCAGTGAGATTGTGTCAACAAATGGCATTGGCCTAGTTGTAGCGGATTCGATATTCGGTTACATCGCGCAGGTGACGAGACCGTGCACTTCTACACGCATCAATAATTAATGAATCGTTGGTTCACACTTCATTCTTCAATAAGTGACATCATTGTGGTATTAAAGCAGATTGCATTTTTATGCGTAATTTGAATATTTTTTGGAGATTCTTTAGTGTTTATA